GTACTAAATTTGAAACACTGAGCCATTATGATGTTAGTAAGCGTAATAAGAAATATTATGAAAACAGCTGTTATAACCATAGAAATATAATGCCAAAAAGGACCATCAAATCACATATCCTGATTTCCTGTATATTAAAGTACAATGACAAGTCAAGCACCATTTAAAAATAAAACTTAAGGTTACCACCACTTGTGATCAATGGAAACCCCTATGGTTTTTTCTTTCAATTAAGAGAATTTAGTAATTCCTGGGCTTGTTACGGAAAGTTAAGTGTTGGATATATTCATGCTTTAAGAATTCCCTGTTGTTTTCACTTGGTCACGTCTTCACTCTTTGGCCTAAATGAAACTATCTAAAATGGACTATGCAGCAAACCTAGAGGTAGCTGCAAGCGTAGCATGTAAGGATCATCCAGAAAAGGCATTCTCCTGCAATTAAATCAATACTGTAATTGAATCAATCAGACCTGATCTAGAAAGATCTTAAATAAAGATCTTAAGTACCAAAACCCTTAATTTGTTTAGTTTGCTCCCTGTTGTTTTACAAGAAGAGAGCTACTTGATTTACTACGAATGCAAAAATCTAACAAAACTACAAGCCACAGCATCATCAGCTTTGATTTGGTAGTAACACTTCTGAAAGCTAAAATGAAAGTTTGGGACTTTAAAGTTTCTTTGATTTATTTTATTAAGAAAACAAAAGTCATGCTTCTTTTAAAGAGTGTCCAAAAAGAAAGATGATCAAAGTGATGAACTGCAGTGGGATTATGGTCTCAAATTTCAGGAGCCATTCACAAACCAGAAGTGCTGACTTTTGTCGGGTGCGCACAACAGGTGTGCCGATAGCACTACTGCAATGTGCTGTCTGCCCTGGCAGCCCCATTTTCAGGGAACAGAGAGAGATTGGAAATGATAGCTTCAGTACTTCGCTAGCTGAGAAAACAGCATGTGCAGACATTGTGATGTGCATACCTATAAACCAAACCAAAACCTGTTGCATCCATTTTTGCACCTAGTCTAGCATCAATATCTAACTGAATTACTAGCACACTCTCAAAGGGCAAATGGTGCCACAGTGAAATGAACTACAGTTACGCAAACAAGGTTAGTAAACACACAAAGTAAAAGGTAAAAGCCTCATAGAAAGGAAGGAAGTCAAAAGGAAGGGGAAGGCAGGGCATGCAAACTTCAAACAGGGTCACCACAAATTTTCCAAGGACTGGCAAGTCCCACCAATTCTGAAATTTTATAGAAATCTTCCATCACCATTAGCAGCAGATACTTCAAGGCTACAGGTCATAAGACTATTTCAGTGGCAATATAAGCCAAAAAAAAAAAAAAA